CAGCGTTTGCAGCGTCACACACATAGTAGGTATGTGACAACCCTTGCTGAATAGAGCCTATAAAGCAAAGCAACGAGGTGAAGATATGATCTTTCTGTACAAACCATGGCAGAATATAAACATAAAAAGTTGGAAAAAAATTTTATGGCACATTTCTCAGAGAAAATCTATCTTCGACCTTATTGTTTGTCAGCACTGGCAGAAACCTCATTTGGATCTGCATGGCCCCAAGTTGAGAGTCACATACAAATACATTTCTTGCAGGGGCAGCCCTGACATGTGACAGTAAAGCAATTAAATGGCAATATTGTGAGAGCTGAGATTTTGCTTAACTGTGTCCCCCAGCGTCTAAGCATGGCACTGTCTGGAGATGTCTCATCTACTGCTGATGGGTCCACCTGGAGTAGCTTGGGAGAACTTCGAGAATACAAACAGGTAGAGGAAGAAGAGAAAGAACGAAAGGCCAGAAATAGAAAAGGGGGAGCTGGCAGGTCATGGTTAGAAATAAATTTACACTCACCAGTACGTGCAAGACGTGGAGGGGCTGTGTGAAGCTCAACACACGCTCCAGCCTTACGGAGACCTTCGCAGTTGCCAAGGTCCTGGTGTGGGAGATCATCTGACCCAATGAGCTGAGGACATGGCATCTCGGGGAAGTTTGGAGAATCAGCCCAAGTCACACAGCTGGTGAGATGCTGAGACCCAGGTCTCTGTCTCCATGTCCCTTCTGCAGACTGTGCTGGTGGTGGCTAGTCATTTCAGCTCCCTGCAAGTTGGCTGATGACATCAGCCCTGGTTCTTTCACAAGGTCTAAGAGCCAGACCCTGGTACCAGGAGGTGTGGGATTTTCTTAGGAGTCAAATGGATGAATAAATGAGCAACGAGACAGATTATCCTAAATCCAAATGTCCCGAGGAGGAAATTGCATCTGATTGTGGCAAATTTGGCACCTGAGTTTCATGAAGGGCATGGGGTAGAGCTGGATTTGGGGGGCCGGGTGGCTGGGGCACCCTAAAACCTAGGAGCAGTGTGGGCTCATGGCAGGCTGGGTGCTGAGGCCACGTGGGGGAAGGGAAGGCTGGGGCCAAGGAACAGGGCTTTGAATTCCAGGTTAGGCATCAGAATGGAGAAGCCAAAGCAGGAAACAGAGGGTGGGACACAGGATCGTGAAAGGGGCTTTGGAAGTGGCTTCTGAGAAAGAAGAAGAAACGTTAAGAGCAGGGAAGGGCGGCCTCAGCCGCTTTGGAGCTACTGCAGAGGATAGCTTGAGTGGCATGACGGGTGACAGGTGGGTTCGGTGGCAAGGCAAATGGGTGGGGTGACCATGAGCTCAGATCTGCAAATGAGACCTCTCACTGCTGGGAGGGCCACAGAAAACTCATGTCTTAAACTGGCCGCTCTGAGCTGCAGAGGACATTGTGAAAGGACATTCACGCGCTGCTGACCCTCTCACTTCTTCCAAGGAAGCAAGTGGCAAGCTCCTGTAAGCGGCGAGGGAAAGGACGGAACATGGCTCCGTGCCCAGCATGTGGCCTTGGGCCACAGCCCAGTTATTGGGGTGCATGGCCCAGGTCGGGCTGCTGGGAACCAGCCTCACCAAGCCTAGGGTCACTGCCGAGGACAGGGGCTCCTCTCCAAGGCCTGTCACTTAGAACATAGACAAGATAACCCATTCCTGCAAAACCAGCTACTTGTCTGTAATAACCATGAAAATCTCCTCAGCGGGAGGCTTGCTGTAGGGTGAAGCTGGTGTAGAAAACTATTTTAGGGAAAACTCTGTTGTTTTACACTTAGCTGTGCTGGCCATGGCCATAATAATGTAAGAGCCAAGGGCAGGACCCTGTAGGCACGACAAGGCCGATGACTCAATTCCACAAAGACTTAACCTTCTTTCTCAACTTCCAAAGTCTTCACATTTCAGAGGCAATGGTTAGTCACTTATCTTTCTACTGGTCACTGTCCTTAACTTTTAGAGGACAAGTCCATGACCTACACGTGAAACAGCATGTAAAGAAACTAACCAATCGCAGTGCATCTGCCATCAGCAGCTGTTTATTCCCCAGACTTGTTTTCATAGGTTCCCCTGTCTGGCTGTTTCCAGAAATGACTGTTACTCTGCTGGCCATCCTGTCACAGGAGGGACAAAGATATCTCTCACCCAAATGCAACACGACAAAACAAAAACAGGAAGGAAAACTAGGCAAGATAAGGATTAAGGGTTTAATAATATCAACAATTTCCTCAGAGGTCTTTAGCGGTAAACGGATTTTAAATCAAAATTTTTTTTTAATTTAGTTTTTTGATGGGAGCTCTATGCATTCTAGGTGATGTATAAATTTGTGGTAAAACCACCGCAATCAGGACACAGAGCCGTCCCCTCTCCCCAGGATCTCTTGGCTGCGACTCAAGGGTGAATATTCAACTTTCATGAGTGAGAACATCTCACTCACGGTGCCAGATGTATTTATATTCTGGGGGTTCACACTTTGTGCATTTTTATTTGCCAAAGGACTAGAACTCCTTCCCTGGAGGTCACTGGATGACAAAGAAGTGGCACCAGCAGTTTGTCCTTTATGTTCCGGCCAAAAAACTTTTATGGTCAACATTTACATAAAAAGATTATGACCGGCGAGCACACTTCCTGAGTCACATGGATCAGGACCAGAAGGGGATCCAAATGCCCCTGGAGTCTATGGCCCACTCTGCTTACTGCAACTGAACATGCACACCTGCCACACTCACATCTACCACACACACCCACACAAGCACGCACGCTGCCTTCAGGGGAGTCTCTGCAGGGAGTCTGATGCCTGTGGAGAAGGGGAGTGGATGCAGAAGTCACAGCAGGTGTCAAGTGCACTATAACTTCAGGAGGCTTCCGGGGCGCCGGTCCCCACCCTCCCGAGGCCTCTGTGCCCAGACCAAAGAGTGCAGGACTTCGCAGCTGAACTTCACACAAGCCAGCTGCAGCAGGATGGCGACAGGCCATGTCCTCAAGTCAAGAATGGTGCATCTGCTTTCTCCCCACGTGTCCCTCCCAACTCAGGGGAGAGATGTCACTCCTCTCCTCCAACGCTAACCCTTTCATCGCTGCTCTTGGCAGTGTCCCTTCCTGAACTGAAAGAAACCCACTAAACACACTCCCAACACCTAGGCCCTCATTAATGATGCACCTACTGAATGTGAAGTACAGTGCTGGGCCCCCTTTTGTCTACAATGATGAAAAAGAAATGAAGCACGATCCCAAGAAGTTTGGGAATGCTAGCTGGGGATGTCAGCAGCTAATATTGCTATCAGGCCAAATAAAAAAAAAATGCTAGACCAGAGGCACAGACACTGTGAAAGGAGCCCAGGGCAAAGTGTGATAGTGTTAACGACACGCAGGCTGTGTGGCAGGCAAACCGCACGCGGGGGAGTTACACACATGTGACTATCTCACTGAGTCCCCGTAACAACCCCAGGTGCCGCTGTTGTGTTTCTCTTACAAGAGAAAAGAACGATGAGCCTCAGAGAGGTCTGGGAACTTGCCTAAAGTCACACAGCTATAAACTAGCAGATCCGCCATTCAAACCCAGGCCTGCCTACCACCCATAGTAGGGATGATAAGAACGGATGATAAAGATGATGACGATGATAACAGTAGTAGTAAAACGTAATAACAGCAGCTAAGATTCACTGAGTGCCTACCATGCACCAGGCACATATGGGTGGTGTACAGTGTATTGTCTGCAGGATCCTTTGTTCATTCAGCTCCTGAGTATGAAGACAAAGTTACAGGGCTCGTGTCTAGCATGTCCACGAAGCCTCGAAAACAGAAAAGCAGACAGGAGGTTAGAGGCCCGGAGGATGGCGCTGTCGCCACACCTCCAGGTTCTCCAGCCAGGGTTTGCCGCATTCGGCCCCTGCGTCACGCTGGGGAAGCCACCTCTAATTTTCTGTATGGGAAGGCTGGGACATGGCAGATGCTGGCTGCTTCCAGGGAACTAATCTGTTAAACACCGCGTCAGCTGTCGTCAGGTTTTAAGCTGCAGTCTCACAGGTGGAAGGCTAGATGGGAACGAACATTTTTGGTAAGAAGTGTGTGCTCCCCAAGAGGCTGATGTTGGGGGCCCATAGGATCCAGGGTTTGGAGATGTGCCAGGTGCCATGTGCCCCAGGTTTAGGTAAATAGTGAAAGGACTTCAATGAAAGACAAGAAACCGAGCATGTGGGGGTTTCTGGTGTGACAGTGTGGGTTGAGATAAAAACATTTAAGCCCCTAGTACCATTCATTCATTCATTCATTCATTCATTCAGCCACTTAGTCATTCACTCAGTCTACAAAGGAGCCTTGGGGAGTGGTACCTACAACATCTATTGAGCGCGAACAGAGAAAACACAGAGGAAGAGTAATTCCGCCGTTTCTAACAAACTCGTATTTCAGGCCCTCGGATACGTCCTCTGCTGGAGTGTTCTCTCTCCCACCTCTGCTGGCAGGCCAGCCAGATAAAAAAGGAGGGTGGGGCGCAGGCAAGATTCGTTACTTTGAGATTTTATGTTAGATCCCCAATTCCCAAAAAACCAGTTTAGACTTCGACTCTGAATTCTGTTCTGAGTCTATGGTCCTTAAATTTACCTAAGATGGCATTTCCTCTTTATTCTTTCATTTAAAGATGCCGCACATGTATTTGGTGGGGAGGACAAGGACGGATGTCCCGGGCACGTTGCTGTAGCTCACACTTTGGGGCCTTCTGGGACGCATTCCCTCTGACTTCAGAGTTTGTTCTGTGCACCGTATCACCTTGCTTTCTGCTTCACAGGCTCCCAAGTCTGCTCAGGCCCACCCAGTCCAGAAGCTCAGCCCACACAAAGGCCCAAGTGAGCTAACACGCTTGAGGGCCCTCAGCCTCGGGGGAGCCAGAGCCCACCTCCCGCCCTCCTGGGGCATGATCCCCGGGCGGTAGAATGGAGTGGCCCCCTAATTCCTTCATGCGTCACCCCCAGCCCGCCCCACTGCTTACTCCCGCTTCCTGAGATCTCCCAGTTAGACTCCCTGCACCCAGTGTGTCTCCATCCGGTGTCAGGCTCTGCTTTTGGGGACACCCAACCTAAAGCAATTGCACCCACAATGTCACCATCTCCACCTGTGCCCAGGAACCAGGGCCACAGCCTGACACTAACGCCGAGAGCCTCGATCGTCAGCTTTCAGACCCTGTAGGCCAGCAGCCAATGAGGGCAGGGGACCCAGGAAACATCACCGGCTCAGCAAAGCTGTGGCTGGGAGCTCGCCCCTTCTTCTGTGGGGAGGCTGCCAGAGGAGGGGGAACGGGCGGCCCAAACTGGGATGCGGAGACCCGCTGCCATGGGAGGCCGAGGGCGGGAGGGACAGGGCCCATCTACTGGAGAGAGCACCCCAGACTTACAATGTACGAGTGGCCCAAAGAGCCAGGAGAAGGGGCAACACGATTCAAGGGCGACAGGCTCTGCCTTCCCGGTTTAACGAGAGATGTCGATGGGCGGGAAGAGGACGGAGGTGGCTGGCATACCCGACCGCCGGCTCCCCAGGCGCGGCTCATTCCCTTACAGACTGGGGCAGAACTGCATAGCTAAGGGCACTCTTACTCATTCTTGAAACCTCAGCTCAAAAAGCACAGGGTCTGGCACATCTTCAGAATTCAGAAAATGACTCGTCCGATGCATCAGTGAGGATTACAGCTCCAGACGCAGCTGTGGCTACAGGGAGCCTGTACCTGCTCGGCAGTGAGCGCTACAGCCGTCGTGGTCACGCAGAGAGTAATGCATGCTGATTCTCCGGTCATTCGCCTGCTTTCCCAGCTCCAATCGTTCTCCTCCGAACCACCCACTCGCCAGTTCGCCAACTCACACGACCTCTCCTACCACACTCACTGTTTCTGGATCTTCACTGTCACCGCCATTGGGCATAAGGGGTCTGACCACAAGTAATGAAACAACCGGGCCCCATGAGGGGCTGCCAACCACTCAGATGAAAGCCCAACTACGTGATGCCCGACTGTCCCCAGTGGCCCCGCTTCTCCCACCTTGCCGGGGTACTCCCTGCAATACACCCACTGTGGGCGACGGACTCCGGAATCCAAGCCGTCTGCAGCGGCAGTTCTCAAAGGAATAATAATGACGGGGACGAAAAAAGAGAAAAGCTTCTGGAGGTGCTGTGTCTGTTTAAGTTAAGCGCAGATTGTGGTGATGGTTTCACAGATGTGTACTTATCTCCACGCTCATCAGGGTGCACACATTAGATTCGTACAGCTTTCGTATGCCCATCACACCTCAAAAGTGAAAAAGTAGTTATCTGTGGCCCTCGTTTAAATGTATGTCACTGGCTCCACCCCCAGAGAGCCCGTTCCTTACATTTGTTTTACAGCCCAGGAATCTCCATTTTTAACAAGCACCTGGGTGGTTCTGGGGCAGGAGGGTCCTTGGATCACTCTTGAAAAATGGCTGGTTTATATATACCTCGAGCTGAAGAGTGGTTCCAGCCCTACTGCCCTTGGGTTCGGGGAGACGTGCTTGGTGGCTCTGCAGTGAGGCGGAAAACTGGGCCAACTTTCTGGAGCATTAACATGCTTCTGTACCTGTGGCTGGGAGCCTTCTGTCCCTTGGGCTGGCTCATGGGACTTGTGAAGGCGTGAGGTATTTCAATGTCTCCAAAGGTGTGCGTGCTGTCCTTGCTTATACACACGCGTTTGTCGCGTGTGAGTGTGTATCTCCCTCTGCGTGGTGGGCATCCAAGCACGTCGCCACCTCTGTTAGAGCTGAGTGTTAGCTTCTGTCCCCATGGTGCTCGCAAGCCCACCTACGCCTGCGTGTCATGCGCGGACTTATCTGAGTGCATGCGTTGGGACCGGGGCACCCAGGCAGAGAGACACTCAAATACACACAGCTTCCAACTTCATTTCATAGGAAAGAAAAGTTTAATTTTAAATTATTTCACTCTACAGCTCAAGGTCCAAGAGATGAGCCAGGGAAAACTGAAGACGACCTAATGACCCAGGTAACTTACTGATTACGTCTCCTCGGAAAATAGGTGCAACCCTAAAAGCCCTCGCGCACTTTCCACCATCTCCCCGGAGAATGCGACCGTCAGCGGGTTGGCTGTTTCACTTAATATCTTCAAATGTAAAGCAGCAGCTTTTCCTGTTGTTTGTATCAGTGATAAAAGATAAATTAATTTAAAAAGTTAATGCCTGCAATGTATTCTCTCACTTTTGGCTCCTCTTTTCAATCTGTCCTCTCTTCCACTCTGTCACCTTTTATACTTTATCATCCGCACAAGCTATGCAGTTTTTGAAACTACTCGTGTTCATGGCTTTATAAAGCGATGGCCCTTTTTAGAAGCGACTTAGCATACGGCACGCCTTGGAGATATTGTGGCTTCGGTTCCAAGACCACCGCTGTAAAGTGAGTATCATAATAATGAGTCGTAATCTTTCTGCTGGTGAAGGTCTTGCCTTCAATTAGTAAAAACCAAAACATCTGTGACGCTCAGTAAAGCAAAGCGAAATAAAACGAGGTATGCCCGTAAGGCATTTTGGAAGATGCCACCACGTTCCCTGTTGATGGGGAGGAGGTCATGGAGGGGTCCCAGTTTGGACTAATGAGGCCAAGGTAAACCCACAGGAGATAAAACTGTCCCCTGGCCACAGACTAAACTCTGGCCAACGGTCTCATAAACACAGGCTCTGGTCATAATAGGATCCAGATGCAGGAGTGTGGATGGCTCACAGTTGACATTCTAACGATGATGACTCAGTGGAACACGGTTAGCTGGGGACAGACAGGGCCAGGACGGGAGCTAAGGTCTCTCAACTCTCCTTCCAGAGCCTCTTACTCGAAAGCAGTGATGGGAATCGAAACCAGATCCTGGAGACCAGAGCTTCAGAACCGTGCCTCAAGGAAAGCAAAGCCAGTGAACGAAAGACAGCAAGACAGACAGACAAACAAACAAACAACTATTCCCTCTAAGCCAATTCTGCAATCACAGTACCAGAAAAGTCAAAAGCACCGAAAATGTGAACATTTATACTGGGGGTGGCGGATCCCCCATTATATGCTAGGGCCTTTTCCCTTTAATCCTAAGGAACTACTATTGTCTCTTAGCCTCTGGATTCTTCCCAACTTTTTAAATCTTTTTTTTTTTTTTTTTGCCATTCCAATTAATCAACCTCATTAATATCCTTAACTTCATTAAATTACTCCTCGCTAAATCCAAGCCCCCAGGCCTACATCAAAATCACCATCGTCAGCCCTCACTCACCTAACCCTTGTTTTCCCACCCAGGCCTTCGACTCCTTCCAGGAGTCACTGTCATGCCCCCACCTGTCTTATTTATCCCAGTCTCCGTGGCGCCCAGGTTCCTCCGACCTGCATCTCTTATTTCCTTTAAGACCCGAGTCAAGGTTCCTTCAATATGGCTCTTGATCTATAAACCTTCCCTACTAACCCATCTTGCAAAATCTTTCCCCGATTTTGAATTTCTTCAGCTGGTTTTGCTCATCATTCATTCCCTGCAGTCTCCATGAATATCTGCCCAGTGATCAAACAACCGCAATATCAAAGCGTGTGAATTAAACTCTAGCAGTTTGCATCTTCTAACCTCAGAGAAACCGTGAACTCGTGATTAGAGCTCCAGCCTCACCTCGCAACCCTTGGCAGATCGACCGCAGGTCTCACAGGCACCCCATGAATGTCTGAATTGAACTGAATTAAAATATAGCTCCACCCCCACCTAAAACAACCACGGAATCAACTCGAAAAGTCTCTGCAACCAAAAGAATCAGACAGAAAGCTCAGATTATTCTGAAAAAGTAGATTACCAGCCACTTTTTATATCCTAAATTTATATGCCCATTTTTGGGTCCCAGGAATGGTCTTAAGTATTTCAAATAAAGTCTAATAGACAAGAGCATTTTAAATAGCCCAGAGCAGAAACAAAAAAAAATCTACACATTTTAATCTCTGACTATCTTTTGCCTGAATGGAATGTCTTGTTTGTTTTTCCTGAAAGTAGACCTTAATATTTGGTTTTGGTTTTAGTCTGCTGGTCACACTGATAGTGGAAATACCTCTGCACTGATGTACTGCTTACTCCAAAAATAAAAATAAAAAATAACTGGCATCAATGTAGAATCAAGTAGAGAAATGGCAGGGACGTGTAAGGTGAGGTGAGAAGCAAACATATTACCTACAGCTCCACTCCTTAGGGCATGGGCACCTGAAGGCGACATCACCGAGAATCCCCCTCTCTCAGCCGTGCTTCTCCCACAGCGGGCCCAAGTCCCCTCGCCTCTGATTCCAGGGGGTGTGTGTCTTTGTGTGCTGTGCGTGTGTGTGGTGGGGACTGTCCGTCGTGTGTGTGCATGGCATGCATGTTTGTGTCTCTGTGCATGTGTGTGCGTGGTGGGGACTGTCTGTGTGTGTTGTGTGTGTGCGTGGTGGGGACTATGTGTGGTGTGTGTGTGGAGCATGTGTCGTGCGCGTGTGTGTGTCAGTGTCTGCATGCATGTGTGTGTGGCACGCATGTGTGTGTGGCACGCATGTCTGTGTCTCTGTGCATGTGTTTGCGTGGTGGGGACTGTCTGTGTGTGTTGTGTGTGTGCGTGGTGGGCACTGTGTGTGTGTGGTGCGTGTGTCTGTGTCTCTGTGCATGCTTGTGTGTGGTGGGGACTGTGTGTTGTGTGTTGTGCGTGTGTGTGCACGTGTGGTTGGGACTTTCTCTGGCGCACTCCAGATTCCAAAGGTGCTGTGGTCTGGGCAGGACTCCATTTTTAATAAGCTCTCTTATGTATAATAAAGCTTGAGAACAAGGGTGGTTTGACACTTAACTATGTACCTGACCTTCAAGTTGGAAGGGGAGACCCACACATCAGACTTATAAAGCTTTGTTTCCTGGGAAGCACACAGTTACAGTTGGGCTCACCTCACGGAATTGCCACAGCAAGACGCCGCAGCCTCGGCTGAGCAAATGACTAATGCCAGGGAAAGGCTCCACCGGCTACAACACTACCTGCTTTTCCAGGTACCCCAGGCTGAAGACAGGAACATCTCTTTATATTTGACATTCCATGTCAATTGGCAGGGATCAGGGTGGGATGAGACATTTGATACTGTCCCATTTAAAACAGGGAGGGACATGTAAGTGTTCTCCCTTTGAAAGTGAGAGGTCCCAGGGGCGGGGGGCTGGGAATGCACCCGGCTCAGATAAAGGGGGAGCCAGGCTCCGCCTACAGTTGGATCCACAGTGTGAGGACGCCTTTACCCCAGGCAGCTCAGACACAGACTTGCTCTCTCAAGATGTAGCTGAAAACATCTTCCTTCTCAGATTAACAATGGACAATTAAAGAGCCTCCTGCCCCCACCCCCTCATCTATAAGAGGCAAAGAAATCGTGAAAATCAACTTGATCAGTATGGCCTGGAGTTGGCCATCCCATGCAGGTAGGACTAACACAGACAGAGTGAAGACTGCCCTCAAGCACTCGGACCGCTCTGCATGGCAGCAGGCTACTCCGGGGTTCAGAAGAGGCCTGGGAGGAACGGGACATGTGACCAATGCAGAGACGAAGCATCATTCCAGGCAGAGAAGCTGCACTGGCTTTTGTGTTGAATGAGCCCCTGCAACCAGAGCTGGGCACGGGGGTGGGGCCCTCCATGAGGACCTGAGGGACACGCATTTGCCTTTTTGGCCAAAGCAATGACGAGAGGAAGAGGTTACCCTCCTCAGAGTATTATGTGGCCGTCACGTAAGGGTTAAGGGCAGGGGTAATAGCACGCCCAGAGGGAGGGCCGGGGAAGGGAAGTGGGGTGGCAGGGGAGCAAATGGGGAGCTAATGAGAGGCCTGAAAGTGTCAAACAAGCCTTCGCTACCCCAGGAGGTGTTCCTTCTGCCCCCAGACTTCCTGAGCAGGGGTCCCCAGCACCAGGGCACTAGGGCCAGACATGAAAGCAAAGTAAAAGTGGAGCGTCCATTGTTGGAACAGGGGGAGGACGTGTCACGGGGGCACCGAGGGAGAAGACGACAGTGCTTTCGAATCCCAAAGCCACCTTGAATCACCAAGTTGTGCTCTCAGTAGGCACTGCCTTTTAAGAGTTTTTAAGTCTTTTTACAAGTCGTCATGCTCAATTTTTAGTAACTCGAATAAAGCCGGTATCTGGTCACCAAACAATTCAGGATAAATCATAAAAGTCCGAGCAGCCCTACTTGGCAGCTGTTCACCCTAAATTCAGGCCAAGGCCTAGGAAGAAGCAGCCTGTGACATGCTGAATTGGAGCACCTAAATATACCGTGACAACAGCAGCGGGGAGCTGGGCACTGGCTGCCCCTCGCACAGGCTGGTGACTCGTGATGGCGCCACTCGGAGCCCGCCTTCGGAGAAGGACACTTCCCGAGGAGAGCCCGTGCCAAGGGGCCTCAGACAGTAGCTGCTCCACACCTGAGCTTAGAGAGAGGGAACTGCTGGGGAAGGGTGGATGGCCGGGCCCAGGAAAGAGCTGCTGTCGCTCAGGAAAGTCGTCCTAAACGGGAGGGTGGCCGAGGCGGGGAGAGGGGCAAGAAACCTGTGGGTGGGACTTAGGATGCGCAAGGTGGGAGGGGCCCTCAGCGCCTGGTCTTCTAGGTTGTCTCCTGAGGCCGCAGGTTGAGTGAATCAGTAAATAAAGGAGATCGATCGGTTGGTGGACGTCCAGGTGACAAGTTAGCTGTGGCCGCCCGGCTCCAGCATGTTTTCCATCCTTTCCTCCATGGCCCGGAAGGAGGTGGGGAGAAAGCACATCGCCAGTCAGGGTGTCAGGCACAGGTGAGTCCTGGGATTCTGGGTTTCCAGCCTACACGGCGGCCTCTTCACGAGTCATCAGCCCTATCTTCTCACAGGAGTTTGGTTTCGTTTCCTGCCAACTTCCATTTTCCCTGGGCCGCTCGCTGTTGCCTCCAGCATGGCCCGTCCCCATCTGCACAGAGAGGGCGGTCTCGCTTCTCCCCACTCCCTCCGGTGCGGCGACCACACGCACCATCTGCACAGAGAGGGCGGTCTCGCTTCTCCCCGCTTCTCCCCACTCCCTCCGGTGTGGCGACCACATGTAGGACAGAGCGAAGCTCGTGAGCTGTGTCACAGCACGCAACCATCCCCACGCCCCACAGGCTGGTGGCCGGGGAAACGGAGGCGCAGAGGAATGAGGCGACAAGCCCAAGTTGCACGGCTTAGCGAGCGCGGGGACCAGGGTCACGCCCAGTTTCCTGACTCCCAGGCCAGGGTCTCAACCCCGGCTACATACTGGGATCCCCAGAAAAGTTGCTAAAAACATGTAGGACACCCCCGCACCCTACCACTGAGAGAAGGCCATTCAGTACATGGGGACTGGGACCCAAGGCAGGTTACTTTTTTAAAGCCCCCAGGTGATATTAACGTGCAGCCAGGGTGGCAACCAGCACGCGAGAGACTCCGGGATGGCGAGGGCCTTGCGTCCACTGTCGCGGGTGTATTCGGGTGCCAGCACTGCGCCCGGCTCATGTCAGAAGTGAAATATACCCTTGCTGAATGAGGGAAGGAATGAAAGCTTGCACCTCCCTCCAACACTCCCAGCATCTCCCCATCATCAGCCCCCAAACCTGGCATGCTCTGGCCGCAGAGGTGAGCCGACTGGCCCCCGGCTGGGCTCTCCCTCCTCTGGCCCCTCTTCCGCAGGGACGTAAACGGCGTCTTCTCAGAGCATCACTTTCCTCCTGTCACCCTCTGCTGTTCCAAGGCCTCAGTGTTTGCTCCATGGTTAAGGATACAGTTGCAGCCCTTAATCTGGGATTTAAGACCCTAACCAGCAGGTCCCAACCTGTGCTTTCAACCACAGCTCCCTCCACACACGGATTCTCTGTTCCGGCCAGGTAGGTGTCCTCCTGTCCCCTAAGCGAGCCTTGCATGTTCCTGCTGGAGCAACTTTGATAACGCACGTCCCCCTCGCCCTTCTACCCACGTCTGGATCCTACCAGCCAGGAGGACCGAGCTCCCCTGCTCTGCTCTCCTGGCCCCCAGGAATCCCTTCCAACTCTGAACACCTGTGCGGAGCATCTTACTCGGCCCCATTCCTCCACGGCTTCTAATCATCGTTTCCACAGTGCGCATGTCCTACCTTCCCGACTAAGTTAAGATCGGTTGAGGGCGGCATCCGCAGGCATGTAGTTTTCTCTCCCTCACAGAGACTAACACCGCACATCCTCTGTGAAGGTCACCGGGCATTCGGCACCTCTTGTCTCGGTGCAAACGGTCTTACCTGTAATATCTGGACTGCAAGTAGGTGGAACACACGGCCTTGGACACGTGACTGGCTGAACCAAAGTCGATGACCTTGACTCTGTACGGTTGTCTAGATGGATCCACCAGCATGATGTTTTCTGGTTTGAGGTCAGCATGGATAAGACCCAGGCTCTTCAGTTTCATCAGGGCTGTGGCCACCTGCTGGAGGACCGGGCGGATGTACTTGAGGGGCAAGGGGCTAAACTTGTTTTGCTTCAGAAAGTCATAGAGGTTCTGCTCCAGCATCTCAAAGACCAAGCACGTGTGATTCTTGTGCTGGAAGCACTCGTAGGCCCGGACAAAGTTGTAGTCGTCAGCACTCTCTGTGCTCAAGCGGGCCAGGATGCTCACCTCAATCTGACCTTGTCGGGCATAGGACGGATGGTTCTTCAGGATCTTGATGGCCACGATTTCATTGGTGCCCCGTTTCCAGCACTTGACCACTTGCCCAAACGTCCCTCGGCCCAAGAACTCTAAAACCTCGTAAGTGTTGGTCATGGAGCACAGCACCTCATGCTGGACTAGCTGGTAATCGCCTTCGCTGTTGGAGCCACTGTTTTTGGAGGTGGCAGTCGACGTGGTGGCAGTGGCTACAGTGGCCCCGCTGGCATTATTCTGAATCATGGGGGGGTGCTCTTCGATGATCTGCACGCTGCTCGTGTTCTCAATCTCCTCGCTCTGCCGCTTGAGTCCACATTTTTGGTAGGTATCGAGAAGGCTCACAGTGCTTCGACGCATTAGGTTGTGTGGTCCGCCGAGGACTTGCCCAGTGACAGAAGTGCTGCTTGCTGATGTTACGACGATGTGCCCGGTGCTTCCTGGGAAGATGATGGTCTGCTCGTAAGGCAGGCTTGGGTTTGGGATGGGCAAGGAGGTGCTGACGGTGGTGGCGGCTGGCTGAGAAGGCGGCGCGTTCTTGCTCTGACTACACGCTTTGCTGTGGGAGCCGTACCCGGTCATGTCCCAGCTGGAGCTCGGCTCCGCTTTGAGTTTCTTCACGCTACAGAAGGCACTTGATTGAAGGGTGTGAGGGGAGAAAACCTGCACATGTGAGGCCATACCTACGAGAAGGAGAAAAGGAAAAACAAATATTTTAGTCACCGTTGCATGAATAAACTCAGCAGATTCATTTCAGTGCTGACCGGTGACTTGGGTCCTATCGAATATTTAACTTCCATTGCAAAACGAAGTTGGAAAAGCGAGTCTGTTCCACTCAGAAGCACCTTCTGGTCACGCAGTTTGTGGGGCCAAGTGGTTCCAGTGTCCCACCTGCCACTGGAGGGTGGGAGACTTCTAAGGCAGAGCCAGGAATACAATCAAGATTGAGATGCAGAATCAGAGTGTCAGGGCTTTGTTCATCATTTAGTTTTCCAATATTGTTTGTGAGAGAAATGGATTCTTCCTCAATTCTCACTGGGTTGCAATCCTACTAAAACTGAAGACTGTATCAGGTGGCCCAGTGAGCTGTCATGTAATGTTATGCATGTTGTCCCACATGGTCAGCTACTCCTTGTCACAGACCCTAGCTGTCCAGGTCACTCGTCTGAAGAAACATCTTCCCAAAAAGGTCCAACCACGGAACCACTCATGATCTGCCAGCTTCTGGATGAACCATAATCACCCCCCGATCTCAGCCATCTTAAATGAACTCTGTAGGGGTGAGCAGATGAGCAGTTACTCTGATGTTTTCACTTAGACAGTCTAAAACATTATATCAGCTTTTCTGCGGGGGCAGAGGGTAGGACAATTCACGGGCTCTACTCACTCACTTTTTCTGCTAAATTCATATATTGATAGATTTATCTATAAAGTACTATGATTTCATACCAATGTCTTACCCACAACTTAGATGACCTCAGAAATCTTTAAGAGCATAACTCTGGAATAGCTGTACAATTTATAATTATGGTGATATAAGAAACAAGTGGAAGTTCATAGAAAATGTTATTAAGGAAAAATAATAAGACAATGAGGAAGAATATGCTCTTAAAGGTGAAAGTAGAAACGAACACTGCTGTCTTCTAAGCTACAGGTGATAAACATTTCTTACAGAAGAAAAAGGAAAATGGGGCTTCTGTCAAGCCCTGCTGGTGTTTAGCCATCCTAGTGTCTCTCTCTGACCCCAGCACTATCTCGAGTGGTTACTTAACATTCTCCTTTTTACCCTTTCACCCATCACCCCGTCCACCCTCTCTCTCAGCAGGCCACTCACCTTCTACTCTGTCCAGAAGCCTGAGATCAGTAGCCTTGCTTTCCATCTTTCTTCTCTTCATTTCGAAACATTCCTGAATCTACATCCATCCTCTGTCTTCTCTTCCTTCCCTCTGGTCTCAGAGAAAGAGGTGTCTCTTTTCCAACACTAAAAGCTCCCCCTGTTCTCATGATTCAGCCCCTCCATTTTCTCTTGAACCCTGTTCCCTCTACTGTCCTCTCTCTCTTACAGCTTTCAATTTCTCCGTTAATTGGATTTAAGTCCTTAGCAGGTACTTAATAAAGTTCTGCCAAACAAATCCATGACTTAATCTTTGTCTCCTGCTTCACGTGTATGCACGCACCAACTCCCAGCTAGAAAGGCAAGAGGAGTAACAGCCATATTCTCCCCTTCTAATCCTTCCCTTCTCTTCACTTGTATTCAATGGTTTATGCCCCTTTTCTTAAAGGCTTGCCCCTTAAGCCATCTCCACGCTCCCATAGGTACACACACCATAAGACTGTTCTTAAAGGTAGATGACTTCCTAATTGCCTAATCCAATGGTCTTTTTTCAGTCCTCGGTCTCCTTAACCTCTGCAACATCTGATACAGCTGACCACAACTTCCTTCTCGATGCTCTTATTTGTGCTTGTGTGGGTCCCTAACCTGCTCCAGTCAATGCCTGACTGCACACTGTATGCCCAGGTGGTTCCTTTTCCTCTTCCTCCTTTAAAATGTTGGCATTTCCAACGTTTTGACTTTTCTCTCTGATCCATCCGAACAGTTTAAGCTGTCACCTCTATGCGGATGACTCCCACGTTTATCACAGGCCAGGTGTCCCTTTTACCTTCCGGTAATATATTCCTGCCTCTAGCGACATTAAAGACTATCTTCTAAAGCTTAACTCCTTATTTTTTCCTAAAAATTTAGCCATCTCCCCCTTCATCCTAATATCCCATATTTCTGTCCATAAAATGGTCTTCGGATCACTTGGTTCCAAAACTGTGTTCTAAAACTGTGGATATACCTTTGGTGACTCCTCTTTACCTCCACTGACAAGAAGGTGTTAAATCTTATTAATGTTTCTTTCCTTCAGAATGTCTCTTGTATCCATCTCTTTATCTCTGTTCTTGCTGCCACTTCCGAGGTTAAAGTATTTATCACTTTCTAGTAAGACCAAAGCAAACAAAGACATCTGGTCTACCCAAGCGCTCTTTCTTCCTCAAATGTCCCATGTTCAGTCAGTCACCTGAGTAATCTTCCCAGAATATTTCTCAGCAGGTCACTTCTCTGTCCAAAAACTTTGAAGGAGGTTTTAGTGTCTAGAAGATAAAGTTCAGGACTCTAACTTAACAACATCACATTTTACTTCAGCTACCTTGTTGGTTTCATTTCCAACTATTAACCTTCCTCAACCCTCAATTCTCTTTTTTTTTTTAAGGCAAGGCAACCCTTGGTTGACCTCACAGATTGCAAGGACCTGGTCACCTTATAATCTCTTATTTTTTATTTTTATGCCTACAGCACCTGGTCTTCCTAGGTAGTCTCCCAACCAAGTACTAACCAGGCCCGACCCTGCTTAGCTTCTGAGATCAGACGGGATCGGGCTAGTTCAGGGTGGCATGGCTGTAGACTCAACCCTCAATTCTAATTAGGCTGTTCTACTCACTGTTTCTAGAACATCTCTTATACATTCTGCCTCCACATTCTTACACCATTCCTCCATCTGGCATGCCTTCACTAGTTCTCTCAACTAATCCAAAGACAAGACGATTCAGACCCCACCCCTTCCCATACCTCCCCGACCTAGAGATTGCTCCCAGCTCTCTGTTCCTACAGCACTTACCATATGTGCCATCCATGTGGCCACAAACTGCATTTCTGCCTTGCAGAATTGCTTATCTTGTTGGACTGAACTACTTAGCTTTTGTGCTGTTTAACTTTTGGCTTGCTTATTCAAAAATCTGTACTTTGTTTCTTCCTACTGCTCTTTTTGTTCACGCCAACCTCTCCTAAATTCTATAATGGTTTTTCTATATTTATCACTATGAACTATCCACATTGTTCTGGATGTTGTACACAATATAGAAATGACCAATCCCTTGGCTTTTAGTAACTTATCCACCAACAAGGCAAAGCAAATGAGCGTTTCCTTTATCCCTTGGGGCCATCTCGCGCCCTCCTCCTCAATCCTCAAGTCCTTAGGGCGGGAAAGGCATCGGTCAGGGCAGTGGAAGAAATATGCTGATGTTACACAAAAGAGATGTGGCTCTATTTTCACTGTTTCAAAAACATTTTGGTGGAAAGGCCAGGGTATAGAAGTGGAATTTTACAGAGGGGAAGAGGATGGCTTATGACTTATTGGGATGACAGCCAAGGGTCATAAAACTGTGGAAATCATCGTCGGCTACCTCTGGTGACAGATGCCTGGGATTGGAGAGGTGACCTGCATGACTAGAAGCTCCCTGCGCCACACCGGCTGCCTCTGACTCTGGCGTGGCCTGGGGTAGTCACCGCTGCTCCTTTAGAAGGTCAACAGCTACCATTCCAAAAACTAGACATGAGTCCTGATACAGCCTCATTTCTTTCCAGCTTCATTAAGATATAACTGACATATAACATTTTGTAAGTTTAAAGAGTACGAGGTAATGAATTGATCCGCATATATATTGTGAAATGATTACTGCAATAAGGTTATTCATCACATCACATAGCTACCTTTCAGTGTGTGCGCGGTGAGAACATTTAAGATCTACTCTCTTAGCAACTTTCAAGTACACGGTACATTATTATTAACTACAGTCACCATGATGTATATTAAATCTCAGAACTTATCTTATAACCGGAAGTTTGCTCACACAGCCTTATTATCTTTATTCTGTAGCAGAGACCATTTTGCTCTGGGAAGTGAAATGCTCAAAAAAAAATATAGCTAAAGAAAGCATTTAAGATCTACTCTCTTAGCAACTTTCAAGTACACGGTACATTATTATTAACTACAGTCACCATGATGTATATTAAATCTCAGAACTTATCTTATAACCGGAAGTTTGCTCACACAGCCTTATTATCTTTATTCTGTAGCAGAGACCATTTTGCTCTGGGAAGTGAAATGCTCAAAAAAAAATATAGCTAAAGAAAGTCTTTAATAATAACAACAATTGTTATTATTATAAATTAATAATATTATCATTTAAAAATCTCTAAAATACCTTATAAGGAATCACACATTGCTGGTGGTTGTGTAGCTTAATCTTAAAATAACTTTACGGCAACAACCACACTCATTTCCAAACATTTCTCGAGAGTATTTTTCTGGAAGAAAGCTTCCTGATCAGTTTAGATCTCGGTGCATCAGCTCATGCCTTTTACATTCTGTTTATTCAGATCCCTAAGGCTGGGGACAAGAAGGGGAGGGACCCTTATGTTGTCCACTCTCATTTCTTTCGGTATTGACCTCTTTTCTTCAAGGCCTATTTCCCTCCTTATTTGTCCATTTTCTTTTCAGAAAAGGCCCAGGCTTAATGGCCATTTTCATGTTGACTTTAGGGCAAAATCTCAGTTGTTTTTACGAGTTATCTCTGCCCTTCCTATTTGGCTCATGAAGACCAAGTGAATTTTGCTCTCTCTCTGTGGGGAGACTGAGAGGCTGTTACAACCCAACCGTGAGGGTGGGATGTGAGCCCACGGGGAGCAAGCTGCATGAAGGCCCCAGGAAACCACTGCAGGATAAGCCTGCGACAACTAGACCTGCTCCCTGGAGGGGTCACTGGGCCCAGACTGTTCCATGAAAGCTTACGTGGACCCCCAAGGTAACACCTGACAAGGTGTCCACGTTTTTACTCATGAAAGCACAGCATGTCACCGCAATCTAGAGCCAAAGCTTCTAAAAAGCAGCA